AGGCTTTTTCTCAACTTCAGCCTTTGCCCTTGAGCTCGAGTTCCTTGACTCCTAGGCTCTGCAGGCTTTCCAATCTTCTTACTCTACTAAACCTCTGCGCTACTACGCCCTCTCCTCTCTTCACCCCCATCTCATAACTTTTTTGCCGGCTTTTATAGTCATATAAGGTCACGTGGACGGACTCTGTGGCGCATCCCTTGGCGCACGCCATCTAGAGCCGTCTTCCTGAATCATTTCCAACAGTTTTAATAGTCAAAATTGCCATTTTTACTAATTAGCTTCTCTCTCAAGTAAAAGGATACCTCTCTACAAATAAGTGTTGTCTATATAAAGAGGTTTTACTCTACCTAAAAAATAACAATTATAAACTTTTTTTTTTTTGCTTATTCCTAGTACTCATGGTACAGGCTATGATAATCATGATGGGTAGAAGTAGGAGATTGCTTTTACTGTAAGTGCACCACATGTCTACACATGTGAAAAGCAGTTCGACTTTGCACTTGCAAATGTGCCAGAGCCCCGTTTGGTTACCTGCACTCGCCGGTGGGATTGAACTTTTGCAAGAATCTGGGGCCATTTGCGAGAATCGAACCCAGGTCGTAGCAGTCGAAAACCAACGGTTTAGACCATCCTTCCACCGACCACCCTGATTATAAACCTGATTGAAACATATTGTACAAGTTTTGGGACACATTTTTGCAATCATCTGTACATCCCAGTTGTGCCTTTTTTTTTTCAAAAAAGTTTTTAAAAACTTTTATTCTTTACAAATGTATTTTTGTAGGAATAATATATAATTTATGATATATATTGAGTTTGGAAAAAATATACATTTTATTCTATATACACTCTAGTAAAAAAACTTGAGCAAAATATCTGGGTCATTTATCTAATAGAATAGAACCTCTCTGTATAGGACAACACCTAGTTGCAGAGCCAAAGTGTCCTTTAGGGAGAGGTGTCCTCTTACTGGAGCATTATTCATTAGTAAAAATGGTTATTTTGGTTGTGAAAACTGTCCTTTGTAGAGAGCTGTGCTGTAGCTGGAGTGTCCTCTCATGGAGGTTCTACTGTATATATATATGTCGTACCACAATCACTAGCAGTCATGGGACCAAGTGGTTCCAGGAGTCTATGGGTAACATAAAGGACAAGGCAGGTTGAATGGCACCTAAGAGAGGCCAGCAGCAGGAGATTCGGTAAGGTCCAGGAGGGTGTCTGATCTGCAAGAGAAAGAGAGATGATCTTTTGTCTAATGGTGTCTGGTCGTAAAACTCACTAATGACTTGTGGAAGTTCTACGGGAGGAAATGTAATCTCGATAAACTGGACCTCGTCTTGCCTGGGTGTGGCTTGACTCTCTTTAAAACTTTATTATCTTGTTTGTGATTACATGATGGCCAAGCTGGTGTGTTGAATTGTATCTCCATTATGGGTCTGTTACACTCTTTATAATTATGTTACATATTAAAATGTTGTGTATATATCAGTACATATATATATACTAGACTAATAACAAATTATGAAAAAGGCATCTCCTTATCGTGCAACTGAAAGTTTCTGATGGCTTGCGCCATCTATCAGAATAAATATCAACTATTCTCATTGATTTTTAATTATTCCAGAATTGGCCAAATACCCAATCTTGATTAATCAAGAAAAGCTAACCACGTATATAATATATATACCACACTAATAACTAATTGCCTAAAATTTCTCATTCCCAGGATCAAAAGAAGTTACTTAGAAAATAAGGCGATATACAGAAGTTTAGGAGTTTATAGATAAACAGACAGACAATTTTGATTTTTAAATATTAACATATAAATATACACACACACAGATAAATATACACAAGTTATATAACTTGGGTTCTATTGGTGATTTATTGTATCATGTTTTCTCCTGTAGAAGGGGCTTTCATGGCCGAAAGCTAGAGATATGAATTGAAATTGTGTGTGGATGCATTTTTTTCTCTCTCAAATAACCTAAATTGTATTAATTTCTTGTAGATGTGTCAATTTTTAGCCCACATGTTTGGTGACTAGGAAGTGGTGTCCAGATAATGACAGAGAAAGGATC